GTAGCTTTCTAAGCCAGAGAAATCGTTAGATATGCTTGATAGCTTCAGTGAACTAAGAGCAGTGCTCCATTAACCCATTCGCGACCAGGCGCGTTTTTCGAAAACGGCTCGTTCGGACCGGAGCATTTGCGAGCTCTCAGCAAGTGTCCGCCACCAGTGGTGGACACGGTCCCTCGTGACCCCTTACTGAAAATTTTAGCACTGTTCAACTTTCTGCTCCCGAAATCTCCTTTTTTACTGAACCATCGAGTGCAGGGGTTATTCCTCAGGTCACAAAAATGACATTCGTCTGTCCTCCGGTGCCATTTGGCGCCAATGTGCGCTAATTTAGTGCTATAGTCTTTCCCTCGAAAACCCAGTGTAAGCTTGCGTAATGAGCTGATTTTTCATTCAAACTGCAAAATGACATTTGGCGTGAGGCGGAATCTGGTCATTTGGTGCCAGAACAGCGCCAACCAATTTTGGCCCTTCACATTCTTCGCTGAAAGTTGCACACTGGCATTTTTCGACATCCTTGTCACGAATAGGATATTCATTTTTCGCCTTTGCAAAGCACTACTTGGCATGAGCGCCATGTAGCGCTCTGATAAGGCTGAGTCCAGGAGGGAGAGTGATTCCCTCTTTCTATGGTAGGAAGAGCCTTAGCTTTCGCGATGATAAGCACTGTAACCTACGCTAACTCCTGCTAAAAGTGTGTCATATAAATCACTAGGACAGCGAATAACCCTAGTATCCAAGTTCCCATCATTTGGGTGGAAGAGGTGATAGCACCAAATTGGCGCCCATTGGCGCCAGTTGGCGCTGGGATCTATAGTGAATGTCATATTCGTAATCGGAGCAACCACACTCCCTAGTATTCAACTTTCAACTTTGCCTGAATTTTGGTAAAAAGTAGTGGTGCCAAGTTGGCGCCGGCACCATTCTGGCGCCTAGTGGCACCAGCGCCAAGAATGAGTGTCATATTCGTAATCATGACGTCAAATAACCTCACCATGGAAGTTTATACCGGTTTTGATGAAAAAGTGGTGGCGCCAAATGGCGTCAAACAACGCCGGCGCCAGAAACGGACGTCACATTCGTGATCACTGAGTAACCCCTACCGGCAATTTTTCAGCAGAAATTTTTCTAGAGGTTTTGGGCTCAGGTGCTGCTAGTTGAATCGTGCCTGGGACCCTTATATCTGAAGATCTCGTTGGTCCACTATTTGCATAAATTAACAAAGGTATGAAGACTTGTACCACTGGGAAAAGTTCCTCGAAGAACTCGAACTGTTTCTAAAAATTTCATCAAAAGCCCGTCCGCCACATATGGTGGACATGGTCCGAAGTGGACATTTCGGTGTCCACCACCAGTGGCGGACATTGTCACGAATGGGTTAAACGGAACGGAAGTCCGCCCTCATGGTGATTGCTCGAACTCTCTGGTATTTTTTTTGCAATGACAAGCAAGTGTAATGCTTCGAAACCGTTAGGATTTTTTTAAACAACTTTTGTGCGAGACCCGGAAGCGAATGTAATGTTCCCATCAATGGGCTACCGTCTTTATTTATGGGGCTTCGTTCACCCTCACATGAGCTTACTTGAGCTTCATTGTAATCGACTCTAGTTCTTAGTCCCGACAGAACCGACAGAGAAACATTAACATGTCATATTGAGACCATATCGCTGTGGCTAACCTAAAACACTTTTGCCTCACATCCGTTCTAACCTCTTAAACGAAGTAAAACGATATTGCAGGTGTTTCCTGGGGAGTATGGAGTAGCGTCTAGCTGGTACTTTCCTGTTGCATCTTTAATTGATAAAAGCAACACTGGAAGCTCAGAGGACCAGTTCATAATTCTACCGGATAACGAAAGTCGTGATGCGCAAGTGTATGAGACACTTATGAAGCTTCATTTTTCCCAGCCCAGATCTTTCTTTATTCCGGAGAAAATAGCTTGTTCCAGGGATGCGTTAGATGAAGGCTGCAGTGTCTCCCTCAAAGGCGTTACGAAGAGGTACACTAGTCGTGGAGCAAGAAAGTATGCTGTGAAAGACGTCACTATGAATTTTCGAAAGGTATTTCATACATCGCTGGAGAAAGTTTTGCTGAAATCCTGCCTTTTGTGAGAGATTTTGCTTATTTCTCGGATTCTTATATATTGGTCTCAGAACGAAGTTACCGCGCTACTGGGCGAGAACGGGGCTGGCAAATCTACAACTATCAGGATGATAAGCGGTCACATCTCTCCCACTTCAGGGTGTGTTCTGATTTCCGTTACATTGATAATGTGAACCCTTGGTTGTATTTATTGTCGGCATTACAGCGTTATCGTCGTCGAGGGGAAAGAAATTGGTGGTAGTACGCGAGTGCAAGTCGGGATTTGCCCGCAGCATAACGTCCTTTTTCCATATCTCACAGTATTTGAACATCTCTGCTTCTATGCCGCACTGAAAAACCAAAAACTCTCACAGGTAAGCATATTCGACGTAATTAGCATTCGCTGGCATCTCTATCAAGCCGCCTTTGGAGTTTCTAGCTATCTCAATTGATCGCAAAATCCATGTATCTTGAGGATGTACCCAAGCCCCATGGACACAGCATTACCGCCCTTCCTTTACGAAATACGCTGCGTTCGCATCAGAATCATAATGGCTAATAATAATATTGATGATACTCGTACGGCCATAAGATCATAATTACGTCACGGTGTTATTCACTGTAGGTACGGGCCCGTTTTATAGTCGAGGTTTGAGTACGCGTTTGCGAACCTGAACCTAGAATGGTGTCGATGATCAAGGCGCCATGCAGAGCCGAGCAGAATCGGCTGGTTTAAAGACAATTCCCGCGATCAAGTGTTGCGGGTAGTTGGGCTCTGTCATGAACCAGTATCCCATAGGTAGCTTCTCAGAAGAAAAAGAAGCGGAAAAAACCTTGGGAACACCTTGAACACAGACGTCACCCCAGCAGCCCTGGACGAGTGCGTCGGGCGCGAAGGGCGCGCGCTCCATAGCGATTGGAGCACAAAGCTTGAGCCGTGCGACCGTGGCGCTAGTGAAAGTCACAGGTAAGCTCGAAAAACACACTAACTGCTCTTCATTTCTTATCCTCCTCTTGCCATGAGTACGGAAAACGAATTAACTGCTCTTCCAATCACGTCCTTCCCATCGCTTGCAGAGTATGAAATTCAAAAAAGGTTTGCTGCTCTTTTGTTCACAACCTCCTAATGGAATTGCGCTTGCAAACCATCTGGAACCCTAAAACAGCCTATGCGTCTTCAATTCATGTCCAACGGTGCGGGGATTGCGCTTAATCGCTATAAAAAGCGAGGATCACCGAAGATGGCAAAGTGCCAGAAGGGCCGCGCGCAACACGCGCCGCGCGGGCGTTAAAGGGACGGAAGCAGCTCGGGACCCGACGCCTCGTCCACCTACCGTCTCCGTGAGCCTAGCGAGCCTTGTCGAAATCGCTATAACTTTCTTATCGCGCGCTATTGAGGGATGAAAGAGGTATCATCTTCATCAAGGCGTAGAGGGTTCCAAAAGGCGCGAAGTCATTTTGAAGACCACTTGATCGCGGGGAGTGTCTTTAAAGACAGCGCCCGTGATTGAGCGAGGTGCAGAAGCCTTTCAGTGGACGAGCTGGCCACTTAACCGTTGGTAGGGGCCCATTTGGAGTCGGGGTTCGAAGGCTGAGCTCGCGTTCAAATATGATGTGTCATGCGGCTCAGGTAGTAATAACAAGGAAGCAAATGATCCAGTAGGGAAGGAAAAAGGAGAAAAACTCGCCAGAAATATCCCATTTAGAACCCCATGCCGAACTGAGGTTGTGCGTGCACAAGACAAAAAGAATCTGCGGTCACACGAGTTCTCACTTATTGGTGTCTGCTCTTTTCCCTTACCATCTCATTCTCACCAATCGAGTAGAGAGAGTTAGTAGTAGAACAACCGCATTATCAGGCAACCATTAGAGATGAACGCCGGTACCGGAGTGATAGAAGGGTTTGGGCCAGATGAGATGAACGTAGCGGCATTGTGGGGCGCTCCTCACATAAGGATCGAGTTTTGCGGCCGTTAAAATTGTGTAATCGCTCGCCTCTGCGAACCTGGCTGCCTGCTCACAGAAGGGAGAGAGAATCTTCAACTTTAAAGACACATGGTACGCGTTCAAACACATTGAGGGTGTATGAGACTATCAGCCCCCAGCTGTCGATGTGTCGTGGTCCCCCCGCCCAAACATGCCCAGGAATGGAGATACAGGACCGTGAAACACGCTAGTTCCTCCATGCTCCGCCTTGAAAACCTTTTTGGCGGCGCAGATTCCCGGTTTCGTCTTACATCCCGTTGCGAAGCGCGCGTGTCGCGTGCGGCTCCTTGGCACTTTGCCAAGTCCTTTAATTGCGCTCTCAAATACGAGTAAAACGCAATTTCCTGATGCGGATAACATTGGAGGTGCTACAAAATAAGAACAGAAGATGATGACAAGGGCCAGAACTCGGCTGCATCCGCAGAATCCATCAGAGGCCGCGCATTCCCAGAAAACATGAGAATAAAAACAATCCAAGCGTCCCACTCGTTTGTTCTAAGTATTTCTATGGCTTTGGCGCCGGATTCGCGCCGGATCGTAGAAATTTACAGGCGATTTTAACTAATTTGCCTTTCCTTGATTTTTTCATTTTTGTTTTATTTACATTTACATCGTTGTGCTTCATTTCTAGCCTGTGTCATCTTCATCTCCTTGTACATGGATTTTGAAGTATGAGCAACACCTAAAATTTTATTCGCATCAGGAAATTGCGTTTTGCTTGTATCAAACTAACGAGTATGCCGTTTTTATTTTCATGTTTCGTGGAAATACGCGGCCTCCGAGGGATGTTGCAGAAGTGGCACAGTTGGCTTTTAAGTTCTGACCCTCGTCAATCCTCTTCTGTTCTTATTTTGCAGCACCTCCAATGTTATCCGCATCAGGAAATTGCGTTTTACTCGTATTTGAGAGCGCAATTAAAGGACTTGGCAAAGTGCCAAGGAGCCGCACGCGACACGCGCGCTTACGACGGATGTTATGAAGGACGGGAATCTGCGCCGCAAAAGGTGTAAGGCGGAGCATGGAGGAACTAGCGTGTTTCACGGTCCTGTATCTCCATTCCTGGGCATGTTTGGGCGGGGGACCACGACACATCGACAGCTGGGGGGGGGGGCTGCTAGTCTCATACACGCCTCAATGTTGTGTGAGCGTACTATGTGTTTTTTAAAACGCGGGCTAAAGCTGCCTTCAAGTGGTAGCGATTAGCCATGCAGAGCCGAGCAGACTGCGGCTGGTTTAAAAGAGAGGCGCGGTCCGCGATTTGAAGAAAGTGGCAGAAGCCTTTTCAGTTTAAGGGCTGGCGCTGTCCACAAATGCCTGGGGAATGTCCATTCGCCAGCCGGAAAGCGCAACATCGATAAAAGCATTACGGAACAGCGACGCGACTGTATACTGACCTCGATTTCGCAACCTGGATCCTCCTCTACTATCCTACTAATATAATCAGGCTATGTCCGTGTGTGTGTGTGTGTGTGTGTGTGTGTGTGTGTGTGTGTGTGTGTGTGTGTGTGTGTGTGTGTGTGTGTGTGTGTGTGTGTGTGTGTGTGTGTGTGTGTGTGTGTGTGTGTGTGTGTGTGTGTGTGTGTGTGTGTGTGTGTGTGTGTGTGTGTGTGTGTGTGTGTGTTGGCGTACGAAATTCATAGCACCTGAAGAAGAGCCTGGCGGGGTCGGGTCAGGGTGGGGATGGATAGTGCATGGGACAAAACCTAAATAGCACCCATGACCCATGGTAAGCCCCGCCCACAGTGGGCGGGGCGTGCGTCAAAAGTTAGCGATGTCACTGAAAAAAATTCATAACTCGGTTTCAGAGCAGTCCTGAGATGAGGAAACAGTGCAGTAAAGTTAACAAAGGCCTGACCGACCAAACAGAGGACACACCGAAATGGGCGGGGCGTACTTGAGATGGGCGGCGCTTCCCGTGTCACTGAAAAACACCATAACTTGGCTACAAAGCAGCCAGAGACGGGAAAAAGTGTAAGGTTAGCAATGGGTTGGCACATCAAATGGAGGAGACACACCCGAAATGGGCGGGGCGTACTTGAGATGGGCGGCGCTTCCCACAAAGGTCGGTAACTCGGTCCCCGAAAATGTTTAGGGATCGCAGAAAAGTCCATGACGAAGATTAAGTCTGGCAAGAGTCCACCATGTTTACGGCGTGCTGAGGCCCGCCTACAGTGGGCGGGGCGTGCATTTGAGCACGAGGAACAGTATAAAAAGTCGTAGTTTGGTCCCAAAGCACTGCAGAAGGTGCCAAAATGTGGATTATGGTCCCCAAGTGATCATAAGAATGTGTGAGGCACTCCCGTTGTGGGCGGGGCCTGCCCCGAGGTGGGTGGAGCCGCATTCGGAAAGAATTCGCAAAATGGTTCCAAAGCACTCCAGACACCGGGAAAGAGTTGAAGTCAGCGAGGGGTTATTAGTTGAGAAGCGCGAGGCATACGTTGTGGGCGGGGCCTGCCCCAAGGTGGGTGGAGCCAAATTAAAAATTCACAAAACGGTTCCAGAGCACTCCAGGCACTCCAGACCTCTATGTGATACGGCCCGGCTTTGCGGGGCGTGGCTCCATCGCGCCTACCTGCATTCGTATGATCAAATGCTCGACTAATACCCGGCTTTTCTCTCATCTGTCCACTTGATCAACGCTCCTTACCACCACTCCATACACCGTAATAGTGTTGAAAGGAGCAGGTATGATGCTATTGGTCAAAGAATGTTGACCACCTGTTCAGGTAAAAGAAAAGCCTGATACTAGGCGGCTAATGAAATGTGTGGAAGAAGGTAAGCGCGGCGGAGCCGCGCCCGCTCGACGAAGCCGTGCTGTATCTCAGAAGGAGGCGCGCCGGTGTCAGCCGGCGAAGCCGGCTGGTGTTTCCTTATCACGACGCTGTAGTGGTGATATGTGTGATTTTTTTACAGTCTGGTTCTTCGGACGGAGGCGCGTTCCTACGTCCGCCTTGATAAGCGGTCCGACGGCTGCAATTCGGTTGAAAGCCGGAAGTCCGGAGCGGGTACCATCGCTGTCCTGCGCTCTCCGACTCTACTCTGATACAGGCGCCCACGGGTTATCCACACACTTTCTTCCTTCTGCATTTTCGCCGATAAGGCAGCGTTCAGACTTGTAGCGCTACAGCGTCGCGCTACAGCGTCGCGCTACAGTTGTACCGAACTCCAGCTTTTATGTTTTTTCTTTCTGTATTCAACCCTTCTCTTTGTTTCTCATATTTATCTGATAGTGAGCTCCTGTTTTCTACTTTATCACATTTTAATGTAGTTTTTGATACATGAAAACAATTTCGCAATCGGGATCAACACGAGGCAGCACTGCAAGACATCAAGCAAAGCCATCAAATATAACTGTAA